AATAATAACAATAATAACAATAATAATAATAATAATTTATCATATCTACCACAGTAAATTATGATTATCATGAGGAGTCTTTAATATTGAGATTTAATCAGGGAGTCAAATATTTACATGTATAAATTTATTATAAATTATACTATAATTAAAGATGAGCCGTGCAAATTTATGTTTGTATCAAGTAGCCCTTCGTGTTACTCAGTACCCCCGAAGTAGCTCCTAGTCTCGAAAAGTGTGGTGACCCCTACCATAGTGTATCATATTTCGTTGATATAATATGATGGTTTTTTTTCCCTTATCTAACTCTTCCGTGGTTTTTTTGTTTTTCTTTTAAAGGTAGCACGACCCCTGCTGGTTGCTGCATGACCTGTTCACCTGTTCCCCCATGTTTTTGTCATGTGTGTCTTCTTGAATGGGTGTTCTTAAATGTAATTTCATTGTGCTCCGTACAATGACAATAAAGGCATCATCATTCCTGTCTCTGCCTCAGGTGTGATGAGTGCCAGCTCTGCTATCACTTCGGATGCCTGGACCCCCCGCTGAAGAAATCTCCCAAGCAGACAGGATATGGCTGGATCTGCCAAGAGTGTGACACATCCTCATCCAAGGTGAGTGTGTATTGCGTCTGCATGTGCAAACCAGAACACATCCTGGTCAATATATTCATTATGTTTACATAAATACAATCTTTATTGCCTGCTGCTATGAAAATTCAGTGATTATGCAATGGGTGTATGTGTGAGTACTTGGTTTATGTTACATTTATAGGACCATTCCTGGTATAAACTCCTGCCTTGTCAGGATCAGTAGTCCTTTCGGGCACCAAAGACTGGTCTTAATATGGTGGAACACCATTGATAGGTTAGGTTTTAGACCAAGGCAGTGATCACACGTATATAAAAATGTGAAAATTTTAACCCCAAAAATCCATAAAGTTGTGGGGTCGTATTATACACAAGGTAAAAGTTTGACAGATTTTTTGCCAAAGTTCTACCACAATAAATTTTAATATTTTCTTGTATATACAGTAACTGAAATTTTGTGTCACGGCGGATAAATCCTCACAATTTCTTCCCCTGCCTTCCTGCTGTAGGATACGTCACGCATAGCTAAGTATATAAACAACAGCATTTGTTTATTTTCACTGAAGCTTCTTTCAGAAGACAGTACGGCTAAATAGGCAAACAGCCCATTCTGTGTTGATGCTCCCTCTGGCAGTTCAGAAATCACAGACAGAGATGCTGTCTTACCGCGATCAAACACGCTTTCAGAGAACATTAATCAGTGCAGGATTAAAAGAGGTCTGGGACAAAAAACACGGCTGCTCCGACCTGCTGCTGTCACTGAAGCTGCTGCTGAGTCACAGGACTCTGCCCCTTATTATTGTAGAGATCAAAAGACCATCAAGTACGTCATTTAATGGTTTTAAGTTTCAAAATAGTCTACTGGTAGGTCTGGTTGTGTCTGCGCTGCTGGATAGTTTACGCCAATAAAGTTTGTTTATTTCTTCCTCTGCACATACACAAGTGAAGATTGCGAGGCCCCCCCAAAAAAAATAAAATAAAAACACTGACAATTTATAGCTGGTGTTTGATTTAAGAAACCTGCAGCCGAGTAGTTCCCCAAAGCGTCCCTGGCCCTCCTTCTCAGGAGTCGGCCTTACCATTTCTGTCACTGCCTAGCTTGGAGGTACAGAGGCGGGGTGTCTCTGTCCCCCATTTCCACTTCTGCATGTCTTCTGAACAGACCGAGGCAGTCCGACGCATCAGTAATGGTACGGGACATCTTCTGAAAGAGCCTACAGCTGGAATTTCTTGTAACTGCGGAGGTGAAAAGAAGACATGGACATCAGTTGCATGTTCGCATTCTCAACACAACCAGACTTGCTGCTCTTTGAACCTGTCCAACTTGCTAATTTAACAACTGGCTTCTCTGATGTAGACATATGCCCCTTTGCCACTAGTGCCACTATGGTTCCAAGCCATTTCCTTTAGGCCAGATTCATGGAACCAGCCCTCTTAGTTGTGGGTCCAAGCGGTCCCAGTCGACATCAAAATGCGACGTCAGAACACTGTTCATCACTGATTGGCTAGGGGGTGGAGTCACTGGTTGCGTCTGAGCTGCCTTTACAACAACAACTCGAGGTGCCACTTTTTCAATTGTAGCAGCGACATTAGTCGTGTTTCCATCCAATTTGAATTTGAATTTTTAACGAATTTTTAAAATTTCAGAACTTATTTGGCAAATGTGTTTCCATCTTTCATTTTGCGCATTAACTTTTTTTTTTCGAAAAACCCAAAACACACTTCCACCAACCGCCCAAAACACACCCACTGGAACCAGACTGGAACATCAATGGAAAAGCACCCGAACTCACCTGTTCCAACGCTGACCATACCGACACTACTTGGCACTATTGGAAAAGGGGCATTAGTGTAGTGTCGGTACGGTATATTATAGTAATATTAATATTTAATAGTTTGTGTTAAACTGTAGCATGATTGAACAGTGCTACACTCCGTATATATGCCCCACAAGCTAATATCTGCTAACCAGTTCAATAAATAACAGTGATGACATCGGCTTTATAAGATTATTTTAATTTTAAACTGTTRCATTATGTTCTGCTCAGATCACATTGAGCTAAATAAGATCAAATCTGCTGACTTGTGTTGTAAAATGAGACGTTTTCCTGTTTATCTTCTGTTAATAAATCCATAACACACACAGCTTTTCTGGCATTATTTAAAACATTAGATAGTTTATATAAACTGTAAAATATTAATAACAATCTTGTTAATATTATTATTAGAAGTCTTTTTGATTTCTACATCATCATTCCTTTTTTTCTGCTGTGTTGCCAACATGTACAGTAATGGTAAATCCAGACTCTCGACCGTTTTGCGTTAGCCTTTAGCTTCCACAGCCGATCACACGGTCACGTGATTTCTGAGCACTCCAGCTGTTCTATAGAACCTCCTTGGGTGTAGATCATCTTCAGCAACATCCAGAAGTTTCCCCACCAGATGGTACACCCAAAAGCCTGAAATGTCCTAAAGTCTGTTTGAAATTAGGGGTAGCTTTATACAAGGGAGATTTTTTTAAATTATTTTTAAACTCAAAAAGTGGCAGGCTCCATTGTACCTGCATAAATATGGCATGTACTGTGGGTAGTAATGGTTAGAAACGACACTAAAATAAATTGAAATCAGGACACTATTCTAGTAAGGAAACAGTACAAACTTGTGTATGTGTGTGGGCACATGCATCTATTTCTTTGTTTGTTTAAACCAGTGGATGGATTCTAAAGAAGCTCAAAATGTAACCATTAGATATGCATCTACAACTACAGTAAATAACTTTTGGAGTCAACCTGATTCAAGATGGCTACTATGGTCAATCGATCTTAAACACAAAATTGGCTATAACTCTGCCAGTTTTACAGATAGTGTGCTAAAGTTTGATAACAGTCAAGACATCCTCCCAACGCATCCTCTGAGAACTAACAGATCACTTGAAAATTTGGCATACAAGGCAGCAGGCTATATGCATTCATTCAAGAAATGCTAGTTTCATTTAAAAATAAGGGTAGTGCATAAGTATTATAAGAATGGTCTATTGAAACGCATCAGAACTAAAGTTAAACTTAACATTTAACATTCCCACTATGCTATATCTCAACAGAGGAAGCGGTATGAACTATATATGCCGCAGGCAGGAGTACAGCCCAGAGTAGAAGAGATGGACACACTTGGTCCCCAAGTTCGGCGTTGGTTGCCGGGAGATTGAAAAAGAAGTAGCTCATTTTTCCAGCCACTGTCGTGCGTGTCTATCTGGTCGTCAAAGAAAAGCCCTGGCATCACATTTATTGACAAGGAGGAGGAGGATAAAAGGGAGAAGCAGCAGTGTGTGTTTATAACCCTCTGAGATTTCAAGCTCTTTCAGCTGCAGCGTTAGTCTAAAGGCTGTTTCCACATTTATCTGAGACTGAGAAGAAAGCATTGAGACAGCTGTCAGCAGTTTGAGGGAGAGTTTCTAAAAGAATCGTATGAAAAATGTAGCTTGCAGAGTGATTGATTCACTGTAAAGACATGCACAAACAAATACCCTGCACCAAAGTTAAAATACTTTAACTTGGGTACAGAGCAGCACAAACAGTAACAATCTGTTCTCTGTGTGCCGCTCAGTTCAGCAAAGTGTACCGATTCAAGTCACAGTTTGGTTTGTACTTCAGCATGAGGGTCACACTTCAGTCCGAGCTGTCCAGCCTAGATAGAACCACAGGTCTCGGGGTTCCAGAAATCGGGGTGAAACCGGGCCATAATGGCTAATGCAAACATGCTGAACCCGGGTTTGAAGCCAGCCTAGGCCGACCCTGGTTGGGCTTTGTAGTGCAAAATAGGCCTATATAAAGGTCACTATTTAAAAATCCAAGATGCGCCATATAAAGGGATGGGTACCGAATTCAGTACTTTTATAAGTACTGACCGAATTCTGTCGGTACTACCGAGTACCTGTTCATGTAAAATCAAAAGGTACCATGTTTTGGTAACTAAACGCATCATTGTGACCTTATTGGTGTAAGAGTGGGGGATTTTCCATGCTTGTCCTGAACACAGCATCATGCAAGAGCGTAATGACGTCAGCAGCCGCTGGTTCAGTAAACAGAGTTCAGTCTGAACGTAGCTTGAAAGCCTCGCAGCTCCTGGAGTGAAACTCGCCAAACAGACCGCCTCTGAATTATCTGGTGGATTAATTATCTGGTGAGCACGACGTTCACTTGCTCAAAGTAAATAAAGTACCGCCACTTTCTTTATTTCATCTGCCACAAAACAGAGACCAGCAGAGGAAAACAACAGAGGTGCTTCCCAATGCACGACTGACCTGAAAGAGCACAAGCAGCCAGCTTGAAGTGATGGATGCGTTTTGGTTCTGAACGTAGCTTTAATAACTTATTTATTTTAACTCCATCCTTTTTTGCTTATTTGATTTAAACTTATTTGCCTTCCATGGACCTCCATCACACAATTTTTCTAGCGGGGAAATGACATCAATAGAAATACGTGGAGCTGGATTTTAATTTGTGCAATAAGGCAAAACAGTCTTGTTGTTTTCAAGAGTTTGCACTTTAAAGAAATTTGTTAAACTGATATTACAATACAAAGAGTTCGATGTTGTCTTGAAAAAAATTAAGTTTATTATTAAGAAAACAACACACACAAAGTACCGAAAATTGGTACCATTGAGTACTGATACCGATTCCCAGGTACCGGATATTGGTACCAAATAGATTCAAATGTCAAAGGTACCCATCCCTACAGTATATGTGTAAACTAGCCACCCCAATCATTTGAGAAAGTTTTCTAGTTTTTATATTGCTTAAATATGTTTATTCAAATGATTGTGGTGGCCAAAGATTAATCTATGGTGGCCTTGGCCACCCCCTGGCTCTGCCATTGCCTGGGGGTGGATGGAGTTTCTCCACTCAACAGGATCTTCTGCCACTCTGCAACACCTTGGACAATCAAAAATAAAACCCACCTCTCTTCTTACTTAGACTCCTATCTACTTGATTATTTTGTACCAAAAACATTAAGCTTTCCATTTA